ATATATGTATATTCAGAGTAATTTAACATTTACAAAAAATATTTCAGCAATTGCTCCACACATCAGTATCATAGTTTGAGAACCAGGATCAGTACAAATAAATATTTCAAGAATCTGAGACTTTCAGTGGTCAAATTCTTAATTTCCCAAAAGAGGTAAAATTGTTGAAAACTCGTGTCCTCTCAAACTGCTGGGATGTGAAGTTAAAGCTCACATTGTGCTTTTTCTCTTCTCTCTCTGAAACACGATGTATTCCACAGGCAGGTATAAACACAAAAACATCCCATGATTACATTTGTATTTCTGTCCTTAATAAGCTTTTGTTTATCGTGTGTTGACAGCTGCAACTCCAAAGCCGTTTATCAGGATCATTAATGCCACAGTGGGGGTGCTGCTGCAGTGTGAGGTTCGAGGTGCTTTTCCAGAACCACAACTTCAGTGGCAGGACAGTGCTGGAAACAAACTTCCTGCTGAGGAGTCGCAGGCCTCAGAGAGAGAAGGCCACCACTACATCACCCTCAACACCAATGTGACCAAGAGTGACCGCTACCGCTGTGTGGTGACACAGGAGGAAATCAGTCATCAGACTCATGAGGAGACATTTGTGTTTATCAGAGGTGAGATTTCTTTCTTTGAGATTTAATTCTCAAATAATTTTAATTGTTTGTATGTTTATAGTTTTCAAAGATTTTTAGACTCCTTTAATTGTTGTTGTGTGTAATCTGTGACCCATGTGCTGTACCTGATATGCAGTTATATTTTGAGTTACATTTGCTTTTTGTCATATGTTTCAGAGACAGTGTGTGAGGACTCATTCAGCAAAGTGGCTGTTGGATGGTTTGGTGGTTGGGTTTTAGGAGCTGTTACTGTTGTTGTAGTTCAAGCTCTGCTTGTAGCTACAAAGTCCATCACAGTAAACTGCAATAAAGGTGAGTTTATATAATTGATTGATCAACAATCTCTAACTATCTCATGTCTTGACTGTTTTTGTCTCCTCAGATATGAACAGTTCTGTTAGTATTTACATGAAGCCTCTGATTTATTAAATTAAAGTAAATATAGCATAGTCATGAATCTGTAACTGTTACTGTAATCGATCATTTAATTCCATCACTCACATTTCAAAGTGGAGGCCTTACATTATGTAAAACAATAAAACAAAAGGTCTCCTTTAGATCAATAATGTTAATTCATGACAGTTTATCATTCAGCAAATTATATTTTGGATTAGCTCTCAAACTATTTCATTAAAGCGAACCGACTGTCAGAACTATTATTATTATTATTATTATTATTGTTGTATTAATAATGATGATAATAATAATAATAATATCTGTGAAACATAAATTAATTCATGAGCTGCTGAATCAGTCTCAGTATTAACTGTTTGAAAACAGACTTGAAGGACCAAACAAAAGTATTTTTGGGTGGGCCATGAAAATTATTTCTATTTACTGTAAAAGTTGACTTTATGTAATATAAACTTTTCTTTGCTGCAGGTTCTTGTCTGAAGGAAAACAGTTCGTCTAACCAGAGAAACAGTTCATGTACAGAGCCCACAGAGCTCTACCTGAGGTCAGAAGATGGGTGGGCAGATAGGTGGGCATAAGGGTGTGTCTGTGTGTGTGTGTGTGTGTGTGTGTGTGTGTGTGTGTGTGTGTGTGCGTGTGTGTAAATCAGTCCCTCCAGGATTTCCTGGGCAGTTTTGTGATTGTTGTGGTGTCTCAGACAAATTTTACCTATAGAATTAGAATCTACACTAACACAACAAAACGTGATGACGTCCCTGCTTGTTATATTGTTATACAGCTTGGGCAGAAGCTCTGCAGCAGTGGTTGACATCTGACACTGAGCCGTTAATCTCACACCAATGAAAGATAAAAACTCCACAGAATAAAAAGAGAGTAAATAAATGAATAAAATAGAATAAAAATGAACAATACAGTAAAAGAAGGTAAAAATAAAAATAATACGCTGCACGCAGCTCTACACTGAAATGAGATTTTTACCAGCTTTAAATAGATAAATATAAATTTGCGATAAAGTTGCAGTGACTGGAGAAAATGCATGGTTGTGCAGAAACACGTTAATTGTGATTGCAGCATCACAACATCCTGGAGGGACTGATACACTGAACAGTGTAAAATGTACATATGTAATCTACGGAGGAGATCTTTGTAAAACTTATTACACTCAGTTGTTGGTTCAACCTACAGAGTGGGATTGACAAAATGCACATTACAAGATAAACGTGTTAATATCACATTACAATCTGCAGCTTCAACGAGTCAACACCACTCTGACAGACCAACAAAGATTTAATAAGTTTGACAAAGGTCGTGATTTATTACGGAATTTTTTCTGTGTCTCAGGTCACTGCAGCTCAGCATGATTGTTGAGATCTGCTTGTTGCTTTTTATTGTTTTATTTTAACTTGTTTGCCTATTTCTATTATTATGTATCACCTTTATATTTTCTGTCTGTCACACTGTGGTCCATAAAGAGTGAAAATACAACTGATGTTGAAGACATTATAGCAGCTGAATGAAGATGTAGCAACACAACAACTCAACCAAACAGATGGAAATGAAAACAACATGATAATGAGATGACAGAACTCACAAAAAGAACCTGATGAAACTAAAGTGACTTACAAGAAGTTTTTTAAAGGATCATATTGATATTTATTATATTTATTTACGTCACTTAGAGTCCAAAGAAAGATAAAATCACACTGGCTGAAGTCAGGACATTTTTAAGAACTAAAACCAAACATGAGATTTCACAAACTTAAAGGGTAACACCACCCAATTTAAGAATTCCACTGTTATTTCCATGGTCTAGGAGAGTTAATAAGTCTAATAAGAGTTTGATATTAAGAAAGTCACAGGCTTGTGATGTCATAGGGTATAAAGTCTGGAGCTGCTCCACAGACAGAGACCTGATTTTATGGAGCCAGAGAATGTTTGTTTGCTTTTTTAGACCTAAATGAGCTTTATTCTATTTCAGTGTTCTCAGTTCTGAAACAAAACAAATGTTCCCGTATGTTCAGAACATTCCCCTGGGTGCTCTCAGTGTCACCTACAGCACTGGTTCCCAACTGGTCCAGCCACTGGGTCCAGATTTCTCCTCAGTCATTAGTTCAAGGTCCACACAGTTTCATATATTCAGCGTCATACTTGTGTTTGGCCACGTCTCAAACTAGTTTCTGTCTCTGTCAAGTAGCTGTTTGATTACTCACACTCTCTACAGGAAACAGCACTTCACAATAAAAGCTCTGTGCTGGAAATTCACTGTACTTAAGAATAAAGTGTGGTTTTTACAAAGCTGATATGTTAGCAAGTCACTTCTGGTCCATTCAGAATGAGCCTGTGACCCACTTTTGGACCACGACCCACCAGTTGGGAACCACTGCTCTGCAGCATCTCCCACCATTCATTGTCTGTGGAGCAGCTGCAGACTGCAGGATTTGGGAGAGAGTTGTTCATGATTACTAATATATTTGGACTGTCTTAGACCAGAGGAATAACATGTATGAATTCTGAAACTAGGTGTAGTTCCCCTTTAAGCTTGAAGCAGTTTTAAAACTCATGTGGAGCAGCTGTCACAGCAACAAGTTGGATCATGATCACAAACATGAACTCATGTTTTACATACTAGTGACTTTCATAGATTTAAAACATGTGTGTTGATATAAATGTGATTTAGATGAGAATATGCAGGTTATTGAGAAATCATTATGACATTTGATTTGTCATTAAAACAGGAATTTTAAATTTGAATGTTGCACTTTGTTTGGATGAGTGCACTGATATTTGTCCTTTAAAAGGTCCTCAGCTCCACATGATATGTGACTGAATATATTATTACTGTAAATATTTTATCGCTTGAGTTTGAATATTTTATAACTGCAGAGTTGTGTAAAATTAAATTGAATGTTATTTTTGTATTTCACATTTGACTGACATTGTTTAATGACTCTTCCTCATTGATCTTCATGTTAAAAGGCTAAAAATAAATCTTAGAATTGATCTTATTAACCACTTATCCTGTTGGGGGTCACTGGGCGCTGGAGGCTGTCCCAGCTGACACTGGGTGAGAGGTGGGGTTCACCCTGGACAGGTCAGACAGGACGGGTATAACCAGAGGGGGCAGTTCTGCAGCTTGAAGCTGTTGTGAAATGAAGGAGGAGAAGGAGGAGGAGGAGGAGGCAACAGATAATCCACATAAAGGAAATCACTGCGTTAGAGGACCTGGATGGACAGAATTATCTGGTGCATGGTGGACATATTAGATACGAACTGTAAATAATTTCTTATCATGAGTTTTGTTATGAATTCAGTTTTGATTGTAACCTCACAGAATTTAACTGTCTCATAAAGAACATGTCCAAAGCATTTCTTGTCTCAGCCAAAAACACGTCATTGCACTCTCAGTCCCCATCCCATCTACTCACACTTTATGAATGGATTTCATTTTCTTGACAAAAGATGTTCAAACAAATCCATTCGATCCATCTTAACAAACGGTTTATAGCCTGCTCAGTCTCTGAGAAATAATGTTTTGAATCTCTTTGACCAATCAACAGTTTTCAAATTGAGATGAATAAATGAATGAATGATTTTTACCCTTCAGGATTTAATATTCAGAACACATGTATGTTTCTTTAATGGTGATATTGAAACAGGAGAACATGTGTTTATTTCATGCTCTCTGGGAACAATTTAAAGAATGGGAAAGAACCAATTTCCTGATGTTAAATTCAGACAAAACTGAAGTTATTGTTCTTGGCCCCAAACAACTCAGAGACTCTTTATCTGATGACATAGTTTCTCTAGATGGCATTGCTCTGGCCTCTAGCACTACCGTAAGAAACCTCGGAGTAATATTTGATCAAGATTTGTCTTTTAATTCTCATTTAAAGCAAACCTCACGGACTGCATTTTTTCATCTGCGTAATATTGCGAAAATTAGGCCTATCCTGACCCGAAAAGATGCAGAAAAATTGGTCCACGCTTTTGTTACCTCAAGGCTGGATTACTGTAACTCTCTATTATCAGGTAGCTCTAGTAAGTCCTTAAAAACTCTCCAGCTAATTCAGAATGCAGCAGCACGTGTACTAACAGGAACTAAGAAACGAGATCATATTTCTCCTGTTTTAGCTTCTCTGCACTGGCTCCCTGTAAAATCCAGAATTGAATTTAAAATCCTACTGTTAACTTATAAAGCTCTAAATGGTCAAGCTCCGTCATATCTTAGAGAGCTCATAGTGCCATATTATCCCACCAGAACACTGCGCTCTGAGAACGCAGGGTTACTCGTGGTCCCTAAAGTCTCCAAAAGTAGATCAGGAGCCAGAGCCTTCAGCTATCAGGCTCCTCTCCTGTGGAATCATCTTCCTGTTACGGTCCGGGAGGCAGACACCGTCTCCACATTTAAGACTAGACTTAAGACTTTCCTCTTTGATAAAGCTTATAGTTAGGGCTGGCTCAGGCTTGCCCTGTACCAGCCCCTAGTTAGGCTGACTTAGGCCTAGTCTGCCGGAGGACCCCCCTATAATACACCGGGCACCTTCTCTCCTTCTCTCTCTCTCTCTCTCTCTCTCTCTCTCTCTCGTATCCTATTACTGCATCTTGCTAACTCGGCCATTCTGGATGTCACTAACTCGGCTTCTTCTCCGGAGCCTTTGTGCTCCACTGTCTCTCAGATTAACTCATATCGCAGCGGTGCCTGGACAGCGTGACGTGTGTGGTTGTGCTGCTGCCGTGGTCCTGCCAGATGCCTCCTGCTGCTGCTGCCATCATTAGTCATTAGTCATACTTCTACTGTTATTATACACATATGACTATTGTCACACAAGTATACTGTCAGATATTAATACATACTTTCAACATATTGTACCACAGTAGCCAGAACTATAACTATAATATTATTACTTTCATTAATGTTGTTGTAAGCTACTGTCATTACCTGCATCTCTCTCTCTCTCTCTCTCTCTCTCTCTCTCTCTCTGTCTCTCTCTCTGTCTCATTGTGTCATATGGATTACTGTTCATTTATTATGTTGATCTGTTCTGTACGACATCTATTGCACGTCTGTCCGTCCTGGAAGAGGGATCCCTCCTCAGTTGCTCTTCCTGAGGTTTCTACCGTTTTTTTTCCCCGTTAAAGGGTTTTTTTGGGGAGTTTTTCCTGATCCGCTGCGAGGGTCATAAGGACAGAGGGATGTCGTATGCTGTAAAGCCCTGTGAGGCAAATTGTGATTTGTGATATTGGGCTTTATAAATAAGATTGATTGATTGATTGAAGTAGGAAAACCCCAATAAAAAAAGAAGAGGAAGAAGAAGAAGAAGATTCAAAGGGTGGGGTTCATGGAGTCGTTCAAACTTTGAGGATTGAGATATGAGCTACAGTCTGTGGATAAACTGGTGGTGACAGTATGGAGGTGAGTCATGACACTGTAACTTACTGTTTATATGATGCTCGGATATTTTGGCTGAAATGAGCCAGCTGTAAAAATTTCTATATTTAAAGTCCCGGGGAGTTCAATGAGGTCAGTCTCTGTCTGTCTGTCTGTCTGTCTGTGTGCTTCAAGGTAACAGTCTCTGTCATCATGATAACTTTACATGGCTCATATGATGACGTGTCAGGCTTGTGACTGTTAATCAGTCAGATCAGGCTGAGTTGTTTTAATTTAGTGAATGTTATTTCTACTTTAACTTCACTGACGGAGGTTGGGTTGAGTTTCACTGTGATGCATTCAGGCTCTACTCAGTAAAAATGACAGTTGGGCGAAGATAAATTATCACGTTCTCATGACGTGTTCAAATGTAGTCTTGTAATCATGTAGAATGTAGTTTTGGACGAGAAACAGATCAATACAGTATATAGAAATATATATAATAAATATGAGGTAATTCTGATGTATTTTATATTTAGTAAAAAGGCTTTTGAAGCACTTATTAAAAACATGTTTTTCACGTGAAAGAAAGTCATAAAGGCAAATTCATGACTGAATCAAAGGCAGTGTGATGAAGGAATGAATGGCTTCAGAACAATTACGGTTTTTTAAAACATAACAATAAATCTTTTGTTTCCTCGGAATAAAAGAGGGAATAAATAACAACAAAGAAAACAACTGTATTGGTATCAGCCCAGAGTTTCACAGTCGCTCTATCCCTGATATGATTTTAAAAAAATATAGATAATTAGCTAAATAGACCTTTGTTAAATTATATTAATTATGTTGCCTAAGAGTTTACTGAAAACAACAGAAGCTGAATTAAAATGACCTTGTGACAGTTTTTCTTTTAGTTGTAGAGGTTGTAAAATTAGTTTGCAAACTTGATATCTGAGTCCCGTCTGTAACTGTTTAAAGGCTTGAACTCTACTGGGACTGTGAGAATAAGAAGCACCAAATCTATGGCTGTATAATAGTTTTATATTAGTGAAGGACTGCATTACCTGCTTTTCACAGCACTACAGATATGGTGCAGTTCATAAGCGCCACCTGCTGGTGAGCCATATTAATGCCACTAGTGTGGGTCAAAGGAGCAGAGGGAGCACAGTTGCCATGTGGCTGATTTAGGCTGGAGCTGTGGAGTAAATCCATGTGATGTTGACTTCCTGTTAATAAATGTTTGTTTGCTCCTCTTTGGATTTTATGTGTAAATCTTACATTTCTTTCCTAATCCACACTGTTAAAATACCACGCCAAGTTTCTCTGCTTTATACTAATTATCATGTCATTTTGACGACAGTAGTGGTCTGTGTTTATGTGTTTGATGCTGACTTTAACACTGTAAGTCGTGAGTTATGCTGTTGTCCACCTTTCAGAGTGGCTAATGTGTCCAAATATTGTGTTCAGATCATGATCAGGCATTTTCTGTTAACTATTATTCATTTATTTTCTTTTGACCCCTCCCCGGGGTATAAGGGACAGACAAAAATGACATTAACAAATCAGAGCAGGCGGCAACCAATGCACAACAAAATAAATAGAGCAGAATTAGTGTACATACGTACAAGTCAGAGCAAATCAAGAGAAACTATTCAGGATTTTCTTTAAAAGTTTCAACAAATTTGACAAGACCTTTACTTTTCGAGATGACATTAACTTTTGAAACTTATAAATATTTGGATTTACTCTATAGAACTGTCCGACCAGCTCTCTTCTCTCTGTGTTAAAAAAGAACACACAAGTACATAATGATATTCGTCTCCTCGACTGCCAGTCAAACAAAGAGTACATTTCCGAGGGACATTTTCACGATCATACCTGCGCTCAGAGATAGGTAACTTATGATTTCCACACCGAAACTTAGACAAACAAACTCTTTCGGCAGGTCTTAACATAATCAGATAAGGTTCAAAAGTGAAATCAGTTTTAAACAATTTATAACTATCACATAAAGGGTTACTTTGTAATTTCTCATGCCATCTCTGTAGTTCCATATCAGATAATCTACGTTCAATCATTAATTTTAAATATTTAGGGTTCATCCGTCCAGCGTCATGCCATAAGTACGATAAACCACAATCATCAAGAATATTTTTAACTTTGGAAATCCATTTACACTGAAAAATATTGTCATCATACAAAGTCTTGAAAACAATAAACACAGTCAAAGAGATTTTTGCTGTATTATGACTAATTAAATGTACCCAAAAGTTAATCATTCTCATGTTTACCTTTAAATCTAAACTATTTCGACCAAACTCTCCATAAATAATACAATTTGCTGTGCGTTTATTAACATTAAGTAAACGTTTCAAGAAAGATCTGTGAAGCATTTCAATTTGGTCAAGTTTATGAAATCCCCAGACTTCACTTCCATATAAAAGAATAGGCACTATAAGCTGGTCAAATAACTCACATTGTATATCAACAGGTAACTGTAATCTAGTAACTCTGTTTTCCAAGGAGAATAAAGCTCTTTTAGCTAGTTTAACTTGCTTAGTTATTGCTTTATCAAATCGTCCATTAAAATTAAATAACGTTCCAAGATAGTCATACTCAAAAGTAACTTCTAATTTATCTGAACCAAACTTAAATTCTGGGAGTATCCGTAATTTCCCCCTAGAGGAAATAACAACCTTTGTTTTGTCTGTGTTAACAGTTAAATACCAGTTTTTACAATAGGAAGCAACTGCATTTAATGCGGCCTGTAACTCTGAAGGAGTCTCTGCCAGTACAATCGTATCATCCGCGTAAAGCAGGACATATAATTTCAAATATATCCCTATTTCACCATTCATCACATTGCGGCATTCAGTTGAAAAAAGTTGAAGTCCTTTGAACCATTGACTCACATATTTTTCAGAGTCATTTAAATATAGTGCAAACAATAGTGGTGATAAATTATCCCCCTGATGCACTCCTATGTTACATACAAATTGTTCAGATAAATCACAACCAGCTCTAACACAAGATTTGGCATTCTCATAAATATTATGTATCATATTTAATACTCTTCCGTTTATACCAAGTGCAACTAATTTAAGCCATAATAATGACCTATCCACCAAATCAAACGCACAATATCATCTACTGGTCCCTTGTTTTTGTATAATGGTTTTATCACTCCTAAACACCAGTCAGTGGGGACTATACCTGTTATCAGTACCA